GTAATCATAGTCAGTTTTGACGTTAGTGGTTTGTGATTTTCCAGGACTTAACAAAAAGATTTATCGAAGAACATGAAACTACAGAATGCAATACTTTCTGTATTCCCTCTTAATAGAGGGGAATGAGTTTAGATAGCTCAGCAATTGAATTACTGACACTCTTAAGTCTCTCACGTGGTGGACAATGAAAAGACAGTCAGTTATGGAGAATGGATTAAAAATCACCTCTATCTAATGATGTTCATGTGATATCGTAATCAATTAGCATTATGGTACTGTAATTAAACTAGAGTCAAAATTATTTTAATCAAATAAGCGTAGGCCGTGAAAGAAAAAAAATAAGTTAATGCAGATTCTTGGAGTAGTTCTGAAAAAACGCTCTCTTCCGCATCATTTGCAAATTGGCACGGCGTCTCAAATTGGCCTGCAGAACTTTCCGAAATTGACACGAGCCTCATCCTGATCCTGATCCTGATCCTAATGACGTTTCCCTCGTAATAATAGCATATTTCGATGTTTTGCAGAACTATTCACGGATTTTATTTTATTAATGAACAAAAAATTACAGTGTAGTGATCTAAACAACTATAAAATTCAAGCATTCACAACATTTAAAAAAATAACATGAGCATCTTCTTCAAAATGTCTAAATTTTCACAAAAGCTTCGATCCGAACGTTTAACAAACGATTCCTTCCATTAACTTTCTTCTCGATATTACTAAATATGATTTTTACGGTTGATTGAATGTCATTTCAGTTTAGATAAGTTTCAATTTGAAATGTTCAATTGAGGAAAAACAAAAACAAACTAAATTTAATATCGGCATTTCAATCACTCGTTAAATAATTCTATTTCCATCATTAAAAATGAATCCTAGAAAAAGTTTTTGGTTTTATTTTTAAACTAAAATGGCGTTTCTCCATCAACCATTTCCATGGAGAATATTCAGCAAAACTTTAAATTCGATAACAAAAGAAAAGAAAAATGAAATTTTTTGAAATAAGTACATGCATTTAATGAAATCAAAAGTTCATTAAATCAAATATATGTATGGTTAATATATGTTTTGGTAACAGTACGAATTAAAAACTCTATAACAACATATCTTGCGTCTGCTGAAAGTTGCTGAAAATTTCTTACCTCTACTGGTAAACAGTGAACGCCCTTAATATGTAACAGACAAATAAGTAAACGACAATAAAAATTCTCTATGAATATTTCAAGCTTTCTGCAAAGATATCTTCACAACTATCAACTATCTGCGATCAGTTTCCTATAAATTATAACTGAAAATGATAATAATAAGACAAAAATCACTGCTCATTGCTGTGAAGATTGTTTTTGTTGTTGTTGCTGTTGGTATTGCTGTCTCATTTGTTCATCTCGTTGCTTTTGAGCTATGGAAAATTCTGCATAACTGATATAACCATCTCGATTGATATCATCTGAGTCAAAGATTGGGTCCAACATCCGTTCAATGTCCATTTCCGTTATTGCTGGTGGTAACTGAGTCGAACTTTGTCGAGAATCCCGATTTTCTGGAATCTCGATAACAGCCAATAGCAAATGAAATAGAATCCCCAAGTCCCATATTTTTATATTGGCTTAGATTTTTATCATAAGCATCAAGTTCCATCTTACCGTGTTTTCACTTTAATACTTTAAATTAACGATGGAACTGATAAAGTAGAGAAATATTACAGATAAGGAAGACTAATACCTTCATCAAAATGTGTAATTGCTTTAATTAACTCGATTCCATCCAACGATTCATCGCTGTCCAGGTCGTGCATATTGAAATAATGGAATTGCAATTGCTCGGGTGTCATTTTTGCAATCGGATCACGTTTACCATTCAAATGTTTATTGATGTGTCTAGAAAATATAAATAGTGATAGTTTTCGCCGTATGAACGGTGGCTAATTTAGAAGAGTAATTTTCTAATTTGATAGATTTTGTTTATGATAACAAACATAACAACGCTATGTCAAATGATGACAAAGACAGGTTAAAAAATTTTTAACCATAAGCGCTTTCTTGCAATTGTTATATTGCTATTCTTAGAATCAAAACTTTATCATTATGTACTTCATGGCTAACAATGAAATTGACTATTCCAAGTTCAAGTCGCTGAAAATGTGAAAATCATACGAAATCAATAATCACACACAGATTAAGAATTATTCCTATATTACATTTAACCATTATTATATTAGTCATTAAATAGGGAGACAAAATTTTTCAAAGGATTTCAACTATTCGAAAAGTGGATTTGATTTCAGTAAAAAACAATATTAGTCCCAACTTGACATAACATGAGAAAAATGACCTGCTGCCAATGTTAACAACCTATTACTCAGATTTGAAGTTTTTTAAGGATAATTTGAAAATTAGAGAATGTCAAGTTCTTTAAAGAACCGAAGCCTACTCCTCAAAAATGACAACTTTTAAAGGCTATAAAAATGACTGTTAAATTCTCTAACATAAAAGAAAAAGATAATAATGACATACTCAGCATCCCTCGCTTGTTCACCTCCAAACTCTCGAGCACCCTGAGGTGGCATGTGTTTCTGATGTACTTGGTCTTGATCGTGCATCTTCACAAAAAAAATTCAATCTTACTGAAGGGAAAAGTTGAACTGATTACAAAAAGCACAGTGTTGAATAAAAAATAGTTTATCTGAGAGGCAAGGAGCGAGTTTCGAAATATTTGACATATAATTTGGTTGCAAATTTTTTAGCTTCCCTGTGCTATATATGAAAAAATATGATTACTTCTAGTGGCTTTTGTGTATTCTGACCCGGAAATGATGGCGCTTGGTGGGCTAGTACCAAAGTAACTAAAACCAGCAAAAAAGCAGTACTCGCAACACTTCGCATCTTTAAGAAGAACCGATTTATCCTGAAAACTGCATTTAAATTTGTTTAAATCTAGCGAGTATCGAAATTTCTATAAAAGAAACAATTTTTCAAGTTCGAAAGATTTGAAACTGAAATTTAATATCTACTAGTCTACTAATGTTATCACTAATACCGAACCATACCACAAATCCCTTACTCAATACCTCACCTCACGCACCTTTCATCGTCAAAGGCAGGCGAATTCTCATCCTTACATTAAAACTGGCCGTAGCCGTGGATTCCCAATTACCACGTCAGCCAAGGAGAGATGGGAGCGACTGGAGTTTGATCCTCAAAAACAGTGAAGTAAAGGAAGACTGGTGGCCCGGGAGCTTCACTGAATTCCTAGTTCCCCCCTGTCTGATTTCTCGCCTGATCTGTGACCTGGTATTTATTTCGAGCTAACTTTCTCGACATATCACTTTTTCGACAATTACTTTCTTTGAAGTTATTTATTAACATGAGAGAATTTTCAAATTAATTTTTGTTAGTAGTTTCATTATTTTTTCATTTCAAATTATGTACTTTATCCTTAAATGTATATGTTGACAGATATGATTTTATCCTCAACCTAATAACTTACATTGAATAAATTTACAAAAAAATCGTTTAAAATAGCTCTCGTATGATTGTTCTGAAATATATATTCTCTAGTGAAATGTATGTTGGTTGATTTGACTAATTGAATTTTGATTCATTCATAATATTAGTTTCGGAAAAGCGGTGGGTATTCAAGAAGGTGTGCGAATTCATTGATGCTTGTGAATGAAACCGACTTACCTTTGACGGTTACACGACGACGCGTTACTGCATCTGGTGTTAGTGCGAATCCGAACGTGAATCACATTCCTCCAGAAGACTCCATTAAATTGAAAACTAGCCCATTCTCATCGTTTGCAAATCTTTCTGCATCATTGTGGTCTTCTGCGCAGGTATATAAAATTCTCCCATATTTTGGTACCTTTTGTTTTTTTTTTTTCTGTCTAATAAGGAAAGCTTGATGATTTCTTGCTATTTTGAGAATAAGACACGAGTGTTGATATGTGAGGTAAATAGCTAACTGGAATAGTGAGCATAAAAGGTTTTTTGAAAGAAATCGGATTAAAATGGAAAATGAACGAAAATGTGAAGTATATAATTTTAAAATAGTTATGTTAAAAATAAGCTATGTTAACATACTTATTTGATTGCATTTCCTTAACTAGCATAGGGAAACTAAAAAGTTTTGCAGAATTCTTGGCTTTACAAAATAATATCATGATTATGATGTGGACTAAATCAGGATGAAGGATATATACACATATGCACACATCATATGTACCAAAGTACATATGATGTGTGCATATGTGTGTATGTATGTATGTATGTAAACCGATATTAGAGGGAATGATGAATTTATTAATGGCCAAATGTCATGCTGAAGGCCTATGATCACACAGTTATATGTATATAACATTTCCTTCGTTGAAACAAGTCTCGGTACAAGAATGAAAAATGAATCGATATTAGTAGAACAGAAACTCCTCAATGAATTTCGTTCATATTGGACAATAAATAAGGACTCTGTTGCGATTGAAGTTTTGTTCTAGATATCATTACTAAATTGAAGGATGTAATTGCATCATTCAGATTTCAAAATATTGCGATATTGAAATAAGGAGAGCAATGAACTACTGTTGAAGCTGACTGATATTGTGGACTGAAACATCTTTCTTTATTTGAATATTGAAAACAAAGAATTATAATTGGTAAAAGAAATAAATTTTTGAACTTCAGGCGTAGACGCAGTGCATAAGCAACGGATCAGATTGAAGAATAATTTTGAAAATTCTTAACATTATCTGGGGCTGAACGAAATTGATATTTTTATAAAGATATTGGAAGAGGCTTAAAGATTTGCATTGATAAACATTTGAAATCATTAAAGAACTAGATGCATGTTAACGTTTGCTTCGAGTGGGTTTAGGTTTTCGATCTTATCGAGTGAAAGTATAGCCTAGCGATGATTTGATTGTTGAGATGCCACTAAGGTATTTCTTCTCGACTAGTAAGGTTCAGGTGTTTGTTAGGTGTTGAAAATATCTTAGAGGTTTTCCTTGCAGTGATCACCAAAGGTATTGTAAAAGTGGTTTGGAGTTGTGCTTATATTAACCATGAATAAGAAGAATTAGGCATTTATTAGACAATCTAACTTATATACATATGAAAAAACAGGATTCAAAAGTAAAAGTAAATTATGAGAACAAAACACTGTCATCACAGAGTAGTGTAAATATAACATAAAGATCATGTAATGAGGTTAGTTCAACATCTAAATGTAATCATATAAATATAATATCTATTTAAAATCATCAATTTGTTTCAGCTTTTAAATTCAGTGTTTCATCAATAAACTTTATAAAACTACTGCTTATTTGCAGTAATTATCATCGTTGGAATGTAATACTTTTTGAGTGCCCAGTTTTATAGAATCATTGAGGTATCGAGGTGCAGCAATTTATAGTATTAATATTCTGGCCTATTTCGATTCCAAAAACTATGATAATTGCAGCACACTTTTTCTGGCACACCTTGTGGTACCTCTCCATCCCTAGATTATCTTGGAAGCAATTCGAAGAACTCGGAGTGTAGACAAAGTTCATCAATAAACTTTATTAAAGTGACTGAAGCAATGCCATCTCGGGATCGTACTGGCGAGTTTCGTACTACAGCGAAATCCTATCAGGTTAATTTATTATGTGAGGGATTTTTCGGAGCTTTTTTTATCGAACGATTCAGTGTAGAGATGAGGTATGAAATAAGCTTTCTCCTGTCAGCTACTCAAAATTTCTCCGTGAAAGCCGAGATAAAATTGATGTGAAATGACTTATTACTTTTGGTTAGAAGATAGTTTAATTCAGATGAAAATGAATGGAGTCAGTGGCTATCCGCTAAGAGAGCCGAGAATACAACAATCAGTACAGTTCGCGCAACTTGCAAAGTAATCTTTACTGAATTCAAAATCCGGCTTTTTCTGGAGACAAGTAAAGTTGAGAAGTAAAAGACAACCTTGGTTACTCAGCTGTTAGAAGTTTAAATTTGCTTATTTATTTAGAAAAAACTGAATTTTCTAAATTCCTCTTAGAACTTCAAAGTTATTGATTTGCAGACGTATTGGGCGTGATTTAAGTTTAACATGTGCAAAAATGGAGAAGTTAACTGAATTAGCCAAACGACGGTCTTTATTTGATGACCACATGATGGAAGTGGAAGAATTAGCACAAGTGATAAAGCATGTGAGTTTGAAAGTGTTGTTTAAACAAATGTTATTGAATGTGCTTATTAATTGATAAGCTGTAAAATGGAATTTCTAGGATATAACGGGATTAAATAAGCAGATAGCAATGCTACAAGAATTTTCAAAAAGTAACGGTAATTTCAACAAAAAGAATCAAGGACATGGGCATTCACAGTTGATTGTTGTTGGACTTCAATCAAAGTTGGCGGGTGTTAGCAAGGATTTCCAGAATGTATTGGAATTACGAACAGAGGTTTGTCTGATTTTAGGATTTCGGTTGGAAACTTAGTTGATAAATGCTGATCGAATGAATGGGTGTGGTGATAATGGGGTGGTCTCATTTAAACTGAATTTCTTTATTCCGAGGTATTTCAGCGAATTATTTTACTCTTCATTCCTGCATTGTTTTAACTTTTTCTGTTGATGGGTCTTCTATTTGCGGTGCTCCATTATCTATTTTCTTACAATTTTAGAATCTGAAGCAACAAAGATCGCGTCGCGAAAAATTCAGTCAGAGTCAACCTGTGCCGTCGGGTTTGCCGCCATTTGTTAATTCCGGAAGCTGTAAGTCCTGTCGAAAATATTTTAAAAACTTTGAAATCTTCACTTCAAGAAAATTTTAAAATTTTCTTTCCCATTTCAAATAAAAGAAACTGTTCTGAAAGTAGTATCACTTAACTTGATCACTCTAACTTGAAAATTCTGAATTTTTTTACTACCGCATTGGATTATAGTAGGTTATAGAAAAAAATCACTTAAATAATAGTGTAAGATTTCAATTATTTTCGACTGTCAAATAGTTGAAATATTTTATAGCAGGTTCAGTACTATTACAAGACGAAATGAAAGCTTCATCATCAGTAGCGATAGATATAAATACGTTAGAGCAACAAAGATTACAACAACAGGTATTTTTTGTTTTAATTTAGTTTGTATGTTTCTCCTTGCTAAAAATAAATGCACTTTATATTATATCTCTGCGCCGATGAATTTATCTTTAACTGTATGAAAGCGTTTTATTTAATGAGATAGATCAGTTATATTTCTTCATGAGAAGGAGATAAAATATGTAACTGAGTGAAAAGGTGAATATGATTATCATATGATCGATTAGAAATTTAGATTAAACTCAGCACTTGAAGTTTTAGCTTACCCGATAAATTATTCAAGAGTAATATTCTGTTCTCACTTGAAATGGTTCTTCTGGTTACAAAACAACAGAAAATAAGAAAGGTTATGTTGCAAAAGATTAAATGAGAAATTGGATTTGAGAAAATTGTAGATTTCATTAATTAGTGAACAGGACGCATATTTGCAAGCTCGTTCAAGCACAATGGAAAATATTGAAAGCAGCATATCAGAGTTGGGGCAGATCTTCCGTCAGGTTAGCAAATATGAACATTGCTTGAGAGTAATATAAAAATATATACTTTGGTAGCTGACATTTTCTATTATTCGTAAATCATAAACTTTTTACTAAACGCAATCAACATAGATACAAAAAGGTCTAGTGGAGTGTATGTTCATTTTTTCTCGGGATCACTTGAGAGAGAATTTGAACTTTGATAGGCGTGACACTCTATGTATGTTTCCATGACCCACGTTGGCACGTGGTGTTTGAGAAGAAAACTATTTGGTTTGTTCAAGAAGCAATGCATATATATAATTTAAATTATGTAAAATACTTACTGACAATAAGAAAACCCTTTAAAGAATGATTAGTCACTGCATAAAAAGTAATTGAGATAATATTTTGTTTTTTCGATTTAGAATTTTTTCAATTATTTCAAGTTTTATAGCTCGCTTCACTAGTCACTGAGCAAGGTGAAATGATCACCCGAATTGATTCGAACGTTGAAGAAACATCATTAAATGTTGAAGCTGCTCATACTGAGTTGGTCAAATATTTTCATTCAATATCGCAAAATCGGTGGTTGATTATCAAAGTTTTTGGTGTACTTTTCTTCTTCTTTGTGATATTTATCATTTTTCTCAGTTAGTGTTGTTACTGCGGTCACCGTTTTTTCTAATCGTTTTGTAATGAATTTCGTGAAAATTTTCAAAAACTGAATTGAAGAACTTATGTGTAGATTTATAAAAATGGTATTTTCAGCTCTTCATCAGTCATTGCTTCCAGCAAATTTATTATTCACTTTCATCATTTCTTCTCTCTATATTATGCTGCTCGCAATTCCTAAATATTGTATTGCAATTATTTTTATATTTTATAAAGAGAGAACATCATTTTTAATCAAATTAAATTAAGGATTCCAATCTGTTCGGAATATTTATTATCTTTTTGTCATTCTGCTTATTACATTTAACTTAAACGAATTCATTTTCTCATTTTGTTAAGTTTTTTTCTCATTTTTTTTTTCATTTTCTCATTTTTTTTATTCTTTTAATGCCGTTCCTCGTTTATTTTTATGTTTTGTGTTTTGTGCTACTTTCTCCTTGAAATGCATAACATTCTATGGTTTTAAACGCTATGCATTTCACAAATTTTTATGTTCACTTGTTTTCTCCATAGCATGCTTGATGTGTGGAAATGCGCATTTTAACAACAATTTTGATTTTTTTCGGGCCAAATTTTTGTTTTATGGATCGAAATTTCATGACTTTAGTTCTAATCATTAGTTCTAATCAGTGTGAGAAATCCCGGATTTTACTTAGCAGATTTCGGTTCACATATTCTCGTATCGTGTATTCTTTTTAATTATGAAATATTCGTAAAAGTGTAAACATTTGTGAAGAACTGAGATGAATTTTATTAGAAAAATCCTCCGGAATTTCTTGTTGCATAACCTGTTCGAAAAGATTAATAATGAAGTTGTATTCATAAATTCATCTTCTTTATTTTTTTCAGTCTGGGATGGTACCCATACATTGTTCTTTCTGCAGTACTCAATTTTTTAATGAATTTTTTTTTAAAGTGATATTAGTCATTGGTGAAGTTATGTTTCAATTTTCTAATTGTTGGTTGACTGAAAATTGTATAGGAAGCGAATTTCAAACTATTCATATTAAAGATCTTAGAATTCTTAAAAATGAATTTAAAAAAGGTATGCAATTGACATTCGCCATGCATCGAATTGCTTTATACTGTAGATTACCTCCCACGCAATCATCTTTTAGTTTTACCGAAAATACGAATTAGGTAGTAACAGTTCATGTTATTTTGGAAAGCAGTCGTACAAGATAAACTTTAGATTTGGAAAACTAATTTATTTAGTACTCTTTGCCTTTTCTGCAGTATTTAGTTGCT